GAAGTGCAGGTGAAGTGTTGCTTCACCTGAAAGGTATGTTTGGGCCCTTGGATTCTGGGGAGGGAGGAGGTAAATGTCCAGGTGTTGCACCTTCGCCGGTTACAGGGGAAGGTGCCGTAGGGCTGTGGGGAGGTTTTGGGGGTGATAGAAGTGTGGACCAGGGTGTCCCGGAAGAAACGGTCCCTGCGGAAGGCGGACAAGGGAGGGGAGGAGAATACGTGTCTGGGTGGTGGCATCTTGCTGGAGGTGGTGGAAATGGTGTCTGATGATCTTCTGGATGTGGATGTTGGTGGGATGGTAGGTGAGGATGAGGGGAACCCTATTGCTGTTGCGGGAGGGAAGAGAAGGGGTGAGGGTGGAAGTGCGGGAGATGGGTCAGACCTGGTTGAGGGCCCTGTCGACAACAGAGCTGGGGAATCCTCGGTTGAGGAAGAAGGTGGACATTTCGGAGACTCCGTTGTCAAAGTTGGCCTCATCTGAACACATGCGACGGAGACAGAGGAACTGAGAGAATGGGATGGAGTCTTTACAGGAAGTGGGGTGTGAGGATGTATAGTCCAGGTAGCTGTGGAATCAGTGGGTTAGTAATGGATATTAGTGGCCAGTCTATCCCCAGAAATGGAAACAGTAATGTCGAGGAAGGGAAGGGAGGAGTCAGAGACAGACCAGGTGAAAGTGAGGGCAGGGTGGAAATTGGAGGCAAAACTGATGAAGTTTTCCAATTCCAGACGAGGGAGGGAAGCAGCACCGATGATATTATCGACGTATCGGAGAAAGTGTTGTGGGTGGGGGCTGGAATAGGAGTGGAACAAGAAATGTTCCACATACCCCACGAAGAGACAGGCATAACTAGAGCCTATGCGGGTACCCATGGCAACGCCTCTTACCTGAAGAAAATGAGCGGAGTTGAAAGAGAAGTTGTTGAGGGTGAGGACAAGCTCGGCCAAGCGGAGGAGGGTGGTGGTGGGTGGGGATGGTTCGGGTCTTTGCTCCCAGAAGAAGCAGAGAGCCCTGAGACCCTCCTGGTGGGGAATGGATGTGTAAAGGGATTGCACATCCATGGTAAAGAGGAGGTGGCTGGAGCCGGTAAACTGGAAGCTTTGAAACCGGCGTAAGGGCTCTTTGGGCTCTTTGAGCTCTATCCTATCGTTTACTCCCTATCCCACCCACTTCCCTATTTTTTGCATATAAACTGATGTTTTCCCAGCCACCATCAGTTCTGAGGGTCACCGGACCCAAAACGTTCACTCTATTTTCTCCTTCACAGATGCTGCCAGACCTGCTAAGCTTTTCCAGCAACTTTGTTTTTGTTCTGGATTTACAGCATCTGCAGTTCTTTTGGTTTTTATTTAGTATTTAACTCACTGCCACATCTCTTCCAGGCATGCCCACCTTGAAGAAGTTCTGCTCCTCTCTCTGACGGGATTTCCGTTCCAATCTCTCTTCTTGCCCACCGACTTTAATTTCACTGTCACTCCTAGTGTTTGACCAGGTATTTGCTAAAACTCGTTTCCACAGCCATATCACATTCTTCAGTGACTGCCTCCGGCTCGTCTCACCCCACGTGGATTCCAACTGAAGTTTCATCCCTCATGTTTTGAATCCTCCCAGGATCACAGATATCTCTGTGATATTCAACGTTCCACAGACAGCTGCTCTCGCAGCTTCCTGAGATCCACACTAAGTGGCATGCAGCACCACATGCACACTCTCAATCTCTCTCTCCAACAGCATCGCACCGTGCTGGCTCAGGGCTGCACCACTCCGCAGTTCCACTTCATCCTCCGACTCATTTGTCGTGCTAACAAGAAACTTTTTCTTTTCCTTTCAGGCATCAAGGCCCACATGATGCAACAACTCAAAAATACCCATGGCCCTCTGGAACCTACCTCTCCTCCCCTTCTCTCTGACTCTATCCCCTCCCCAACCCCCCCACCTCCTGTCGGGTATTCACCATCCCTCCTAACCTTCCGCTCTCCGATGCTGAACACTCTGTACTCAGCAAAGGCCTCAGCTTTATTCCTCTGCGTCCCCACCTTAACAAATTTCAGGCACGACATGACGCCGAACTGTTCTTCTGCTATCTTCGCCTCTGTGCTCATTTCTTTGGACAAGAGTCCTCTCCCCATCCCACAGACCCCTTCGTCCAACTCCAACACTCTCCCTCCACCTGGACCCCTCCCTCCGGCCTTTTACCTGCACTCGATCTTTTCATTGAGAACTGTCGTCGTGACATTAGTCGCCTCAATTTTACTGCCCCTCTCAACAAATCCAACCTATCTCCCTCTGAACTGACTGCACTCCGTGCACTCAGATCTAACCCTGACTTTGTCATCAAGCCTGCCGATAAGGGTGGTGCTGTTGTTGTCTGCGGTACATACCTCTACCTTGCAGAGGCTGACAGCCAGCTCTCAGATACCTCCTCCTACCTTCCCCTGGACCATGACCCCACCATGGCACATCAGGCCATTGTATCCACTACAGTTACGGATCTCATTTCATCCGGTGATCTCCCCCCATCCGCTTCCAAGCTAATAGTCCCCCAAACCCACACAGCTCGTTTCTACCTCCTGCCAAAAATCCACAAACAGGACTGTCTGGGCAGACCCATTGTTTCAGCCTGCTCATGCGCCTCAGAACTCATCTCTTCCTACCTTGACTCAGTCTTCTCCCCCCCCCGGTCCAATCCCTACCCACATACATCCATGATTCATCTGACGCCTTAAGCCGGTTTCAAAACTTCCAGTTTATCGGCTCCAGCCACCTCCTCTTTACCATGGATGTGCAATCCCTTTAAACATCCATTCCCCACCAGGAGGGTCTTAGGGCTCTCCGTTTCTTCCTGGAGCAAAGACCTGGACCATCCCCACCCACCACCACCCTCCTCCGCTTGGCCGAGCTTGTCCTCACCCTCAACAACTTCTCTTTCAACTCCGCTCATTTTCTTCAGGTAAGAGGCGTTGCCATGGGTACCCGCATAGGCTCTAGTTATGCCTGTCTCTTCGTGGGGTATGTGGAACATTTCTTGTTCCACTCCTATTCCAGCCCCCACCCACAACTCTTTCTCCGATACATCGATGATATCAGCGGTGCTGCTTCCCTCTCTCGTCTGGAATTGGAAAACTTCATCAGTTTTGCCTCCAATTTCCACCCTGCCCTCACTTTCACCTGGTCTGTCTCTGACTCCTCCCTTCCCTTCCTCGACATTACTGTTTCCATTTCTGGGGATAGACTGGCCACTAATATCCATTACTAACCCACTGACTCCCACAGCTACCTGGACTATACATCCTCACACCCCACTTCCTGTAAAGACTCCATCCCATTCTCTCAGTTCCTCCGTCTCCGTCGCATATGTTCAGATGAGGCCAACTTCAACAAGGGAGCCTTCGAAATGTCCACCTTCTTCCTCAACCAAGGATTTCCCAGCTCTGTTGTCGACAGGGCCCTCAACCAGGTCCAACCCATCTCCCGCACTTCCGCCCTCACCCCTTCTCTTCCCTCCCGCAACAGCGATAGGGTTCACCTCATCCTCACCTACCATCCCACCAACATCCACATCCAGAAGATCATCAGACGCCATTTCCGCCACCTCCAACAAGATGCCACCACCAGACACATATTCCCCTCCCCTCCCTTGTCCGCCTTCCACAGGGACCGTTCCCTCCGGGACACCCTGTCCACACTTCCATCACCCCCAACACCTCCCCACAGCCCTACGGCACCTTCCCCTGTAACCAGCGAAGGTGCAACACCTGCGCATTTACTTCCTCCCTCCCCAGAATCCAAACATACCTTTCAGGTGAAGCAACACTTCACCTGCACTTCCAAGAATCTAGTCTACTGCATTCGCTGCTCACATAAGAACTAGGAGCAGGAGTAGGCCGTCCGGCCCTTCGAGCCTGCTCCGCCATTCAATAAGATCATGGGTGATCTTTTCACCATGATCACAACGTGGTCTCCTCTACACTGGGGAAACGAAGCGTAGACTTGGCGACCGCTTCGCAGAACTTCTACGTTCTGTTTATAAAAAAGACCCTGAACTACCTGTTGCCTGCTACTTCAATGCACCAATTGCTCCCTGGCCAACATCTCTGTCTCTGGCTTGCTACAGTGTTTCAGTGAAGCCCAACGCAAGCTGGAGGAACAACATCTCATTTTCCGCTTGGGGATCCTACAGCCCTCCGGACTCAATATTGAGTTCAATAATTTTAGGGCCTAAACTCTCCCATGTCCCAGCCCCCCACCCCAGACACCAGGCCATGTTACCACATAGCCTGCCATTACACACTCCCTGTTGTTACTCACTAACAGCCCTCATTTAACAACTACTCACCCTCCCAGACTGATTGTTAGCAACTCCTTTGTCTGTCCAACTGTTTTTCTCTCTCTTTGGGCTCTATCCTATCGTTTACTCCCTACCCCACCCACCTCCCTATTTTCTGCATATAAACTGACGTTTTCCCAGCCACCATCAGTTCTAAGGAAGGGTCACTGGACCCGAAACGTTAACCCTGTTTTCTCCTTCACAGATGCGGCCAAACCTGCTGAGCTTTTCCAGCAACTTTGTTTTTGTTCTTGATTTACAGCCTCTGCCGTTCTTTTGGTTTTTACAAAACTAAGGATGTTATGCTTCAATTATGCTAGTCAGTGAAGGGATCTTTATGATCCCAGTTGATGATACTGCTGGACAAGTCAGTTCCCAGGATGAAACATGGCTTGAGAGATCAATTAACGTGGTGGTTAGTGACTGAGATGTATTCATAAAAGGCTGTACATTTTCTTTAATAGCACAACAGAAGTTTATCACACAATGGAAGAAATAAAAAATACAATCCAAGCAATCCAAATGCAGAAGACAGATGGCAAGATTTAAAACATAGAGCAAAACACTATCCATTTGAGAGAGTCAAGTCCAGAGAATTACTCGTTGGGGTTCTACTTATCTGATTCTTGACAGTTTCTTTCCTGTGGAGTGTGGAAACAATTCAATGGGTCCTTTTCAAATTCATTCATAGGATGTGGCCATTGCTGGTTGTGCCAGCATTTACTGCTCACCCTCGGTGCACTCGAAAGATGATGGTGAGGTGCCTTCTTGAACTGGTGCAGTCCATGTGCTGTGGGTAGAACCACAATGCTGTTAGGAAGGGATTTGACCTTGAGACCCTGAAGGAATGATCATATAAGCATTTTTCCATTAGCACCATTAAGGGTTTGAAGTCCCCTGTTGTCTGACAAAATGCTGGGTTTAGACACTGTTCCAGAAAGACTCTCTAGGTACTTTTGTAAAGAAAACCATTTGCAGAATTAACCAACACCATCTGTGTCTAAGCTGATTCAAATTCCAAAAATGATATTTATCTACTTTTGGAATACTGCTTGCAATTCTGGTCTCTTCTCTATCGTAAGGATGTTGTGAAACCTGAAAGTGTTCAGAAAAGATTTACAAGGATGTTGCCAGGGTTGGAGGGTTTGAACTATAGGGAGAGGCTGCATAGGCTGGGGCTATTTTCCCTGGAGTGTCAGAAGCTGAGGGGTAACCTTATAGAGTTTATAAAATCATGAGGGACATGAATAGGGTGAATAGCCATGGTCTTTTCCCCAGGGTAGGGGGGTCCAAAACCAGAGGGCACAGATTTAAGGTGAGAGGTGAATGATTTAAAAGGGGCCTAAGGGGCAACTTTTTCACACCAAGGGTGGTGCATGTATGGAATGAGCTGCCAGAGGAAGTGGTGGAGGTTGGTACAATTATAGCATTTAAAAGGCATCTGGTTAGGTATATGAATAGAAAGGGTTTAGAGGGATATGGGCCAAATTCTGGCAAATGGGACTAGGTTACTTTCGGATATCTGGTTGGCATGGATGAGTTAGACCGAAGGGTCTGTTTCCATGTTGTACATCTCTATGACTCTCTGTGAAGTATGCAGTTTTCATCATAGACCACATCTCGAATACCGTGTGCAGTTTTGATCTCCTTATTCAAGGAAGTGAATGCATGAAGGTGGTTCAGAGGGGGTCTCAAATGATACCTGGAATGAGCAGGTTGTCATAGGGCAATAGGTTGGACAGACTGTGATTCTTTCCAGTGAGGTTTAGAAGATTGAGTGGCAGTTGATTGAAGTGTATATGATCCTGAATAGTCTTGACAAAGTGAACATGGAAATATGCTTCCTTTTGTGAGAGATTACTCAACTATGAGGCACTGTTCAAAAATTAGGTATCACATTTATAGAATAGAAATAAGAAGAATATTTTCCTCTCAGAGGTATGATGGCATCACACTTGGAAAAAGAAATTCATACAATGATCTGGCAAGTAGTTGTAAAACTGTTCCATCAGTCCAAGGAAAAGAACTTGGAAGAATCAGTTGAGGAAAAAATTAAGAAGTGAGAAATGATGTTTCTCAGGGCTTTAATATCTGTAAAGGATATTGCTGGGAAATAGGCTGCCATTTTATTTCACTGTTTATGTTTGGAGCTTTCTTAAATGTCTCTACATGTAGTTTTATTTGTTATTCCTCTTTTGTGTAAAACAACTAATGTTCTTTTATTAAAAGGTTTAAGGTGAGAGGGGAAATACTTAAAAAGGACGTGAGGGGTAACCTTTTCACACAGAGGGTGGTGCATGTACGGAATAAGTTGCCATAGGAAGTGGTGAAGGCACATACAATTACAACATTTAAAAGGGATCTGGATGGGTCTATGAATAGGAAAGGTTTAGAGGGATATGGGCCAAATGCTGGCAAATGGGACTAGGTCAGATTACGATGTCTGGTCGGTGCAGATGAGTTGGACCGAAGGATCTGCATGACTCTATGACTCTGCCTCTTAAAATGGTGGAGGCATGGTCATTGAATATTTTAAGGTAGAGGTGTAGATAGATTCTTGTTCAGGGGAATCAAAGGTTATTAAAGATAAATGGGAATTTGAAACACAAAGAGATCTTTCTGAAAGGCATTACATGCTCAATGGTCTGAATGGCCTACCTTTGCTCCTAATTCATACATTTAAAATCCAATGTACCTCATCAGCTGTCTGTTTTTTTGAGGTGACTACGACAGCATACCAGTCTGAAGTTACCAAACGAATTGACTCGTGTTCATTGGTTCCACTCTGTTCAACTATCAGCTAAGGAAATGAATTGACAGCTTTGTCAAAATTAACTCCGACTTTCTATCATTGCACTTTAAGCCTGCAACTCACTGCTGTTGCTACTTCTGGCCTCAGTAGTTGTTTAGCTGTTGGAAGATGGAGTTGGGTGCGAGATGACACTAGTTGCTGGACTGGACAACTTTCAATGTCTTCAGTGGGTGTGTTTTCTATTCATCTCTGCTGGATCTGAGTGAGTTTTTAAAAATCCTTTTAGCAGGATCTAATGAATCAGGCGTGGCTCATAGAGCCCATTGAGCATATGCTGCCATTCAGTATGATCATGGCTGGCTTTGGGTTCAATTCTAGTTTCGACACTCCTGTCACCACCAGCCGCCACCCCCCACCCCATGCACACCCCATATCCAATGATCCCCTGAGAAACCAAATATCTGTCTACCTAGCTTTAATCATATTCACATTATGGAGAACCCACAATCCTCCAGGGTGGAGAATTTCAAGGATTCACAACAATTTGTGTGAAGCAATTTATCCTCATCTCAATCCCAAATGATTAGTCCTGAATGCTGAGACTGTGCCCCACGTTCTAGATTCCCTGACTAATGAAAACAATCAGTGTCCATGGGTTCAAGCCCCTTCAGAACCTTGTCTGTTTCAATGAGATTGTCTCTCATTCTGCTGAACTCCAGTGACTTTCAGCCCAATTTACTCAACCTCTCATCATATGACAATCCATTATGCCAGCATCAATTTACTGAATATTCACTGTACCACCTCCAATGTAATTACAACCTTTCTTAAAATTAGAGATCAACAGCAGACTGTCCTCCAGATATGGTCTCTGCAAAACCCTGTACAATTGCATCAGGATTTATTTTTTCCCGTTCTCTAATCCTCTTGCAATAAAGACTAACATTTATTTAGCTTCCTAGTTGCTTACTGTACCTGCACACTAACATCTATGTGTAGGAGTACAGAGAATTGTCTTTGAACATCAACCTATAAGCCTATAAGTTTCTCATCTTTTCAAAAGTTTTCATTGTTACAACTAAGGTTAATATCTTCACACTTCCAGGCATTATACTCTATTTGCATTCTTTTTGTCGATTCAGTTAGCCTGTCCATCTATCTTAGTAGCTTCTCTATGAGCTCCCCACAGCTTACCTTTCAATCCAGCTTTGTATCATTAGCAAACTAGACACATTACTTTCTGTTGATTCATTTCTTTTCTTTATTAATTCAGAGGGTAAGGCCATCACTGACCAGGCAGCATTTATTGCCCATCCCTAATTGCCCAGAGAGCAATTTAGAGTCAATCACATTGCTGTGGATCTGGAGTCACATGTAGGCCAGACCAGGTAAGGATAGCAGTTTCCTTCCCTAAGTGAATTAGATGGGTTTTTCCGATAATCGGCAATGGGCTCATGGTCATCATTAGATACTTAATTCCAGATATTTTATTGAATTCAAATTCCACCATCTGCCATGGCAGGATTCGAACCAGGATCCCCAGAATGTTATCTGGGTCTCTGGATTAACAGTCCAGTGATAATACCACTAGGCCATTGCCTTCCCTTTTCAATATAGTTTGTAAATAGTTGAGTTTCCAGCACTGATCCTTGTGCCATTCCTCTGCCTGCCAACTTGAAAATGTTCTGTTTATGCCTACTTTCTGTCTGCCTCCTGTCTGGTAACCCACTTTACACAAGCACTACCTTCTCAAGGGTTGCCCGGGATGAGCAATAAATGCTGGCCCAGCGATGTCCATAATAAAAAATGTTCCTCTGTCCGTGGCAATACATTGCCCCAACTGTCTTTCACCTCAGCCTCAGACTTTCAATTTGACTGGAGTTAATTTAGAGATGATGTGTGGTGCTGAATTTTCCCATCATTCAGGAACAGTCCGAGTTCCTCACTCGGGAATTGAAGTCATTGTCACTGATCACAACGTCAGAAATGTTATGGCGACTGAAATGTGCTTTCAGACATTCGACAATCTCGCTAGGAGTCAGTGACCTCAGACGCTCTAACTCTGCCCTAGCTGAATAGTGATGAGATAATCATTTCCAGTGAGAATGAAGAGCTCTGCTCCAAGCTTCATACGTGGGCTGTCTGGGATGTAACGAGTCATGAGCAGCTCTTTATCTTGTTTAGCATGATGTTCATTACAAACACTGCACTGGCTGATGTGGTCCTTTATCTCATTGCTCATGTTTGGACAGAAGAGCACTTCTCTTACCTTCCTCAGACTAGATTCAATTCCTTGATGATTTGTGTAGGATGAGTTTCAGCATCTCTTTTCTCAGTTCTTTTAGAATAATGATCCTGCTCCCTTTATACATGGTTCTGCCTTGGGCAATCACTTCATCTCTGTTTGTCCAATACTCTCTTACAGTCATGGGGTGTCCTTGATGGCTTCAGGCCATCCTTTTATCAAACTTCCTGTAACATTTGAAGAGTTGCATCTTGTGAGATTTGTTTGCTCTGAGGAAGATGCTTATCTGTCGGAGCCAATGTCTCTACTGGCATAATGATTTTCAGAGCACACCATGCTGTTGTTTCTTGTCGAATCTGAGAGGTTTCACACTACGCACCAGCATCAATTTCCTTCAGATAAAGTGCAGCTCTCAACAGCATGTCAGTGATGCACATCTGCTTCCCTTGCTTGTACTTCGCTTCCAAGTGGCATCTCTTAAATGAAGTAACATCGTTTGCAATTGTTTTGGAAAGATTTGACCAGGATGCTTATCATTACTTTCTCTCTCCCAAACAGGTGTTGGCTAAATTCCTCATGAAGCAATGTCAATATCCAGACTCTCTCTCAATCTGTGCACATTGTTATTCAGTGCATGTTAACTCTCTGGATACAAACCCAATGGGTTGCTCTCACTGCATGGGGGTTGCTCCAAGTCCTGTGTCACTGACATCACACTGCATGGTGGCTCCATTGTTGACATCATAATCCCTTAGCACTGGTGATGTCATCACTAGGTGTTTGATGGGAGTGAAAGCTTTGTGTCCCAGTCCCACTGAACACCCTGCACCGTGAGTGTGTACACCGTTACACACTCTGATGACACCTTAGCAAGAACTTGATGAGATGGTTCCTGTGTGGGTTCGCTTGTGTTCCAGGAGATCCAATAATCATATTAAGGCTTTATTGCAGAATTCACACTGATAGGTTTCTCTGATTTGTGACCATTGATGATATAGTAACAGTGTGAAAACTCACCCCTAAATCTTTTCTCTCTGGTGTGAATAGGGTGGTAGTTCAGGAATCCTGTGAGGTCTCAGGAAAGTTAAAAATGTCATAAAAGCTTTACTGTAAACCTCACACTTGAAGGCTAATCCCCTGAGTGGAGTCTCCAATGGAGTAGGAGGTTGGATGACCTTGAGAACGATCTGTCACATATTTCGCACTTGAACGGTTTCTCCCCTGTGTGAATGCGTTGGTGTGTACAGAGTTGAGAAGATGTCGAGAATGATTTGTCACATCCATCACACGTAAACGGTTTCTCCCCTGTGTGAAAGCGTCGGTGGATGCGAAGCGCTGATGATTGCGAGAAAGATTTGTCACATGTCTCACAGGCAAATGGTTTCTCCCCTGTGTGAATGCGTTGGTGCTTGCGCAGAGTTGATGAATCGTAGAATGATTTGTTACAAACCTCACACAGAAATGGTTTCTGCCCTGTGTGAATGCGTCGGTGCCCATAGAGGTGTGATGATTCTGAGAATGATTTGTCACAGATGTCACATGTGAATGGTTTCTCCCCCGTATGAATCCGTTGATGTCTGCGGAGATTCGATAAGTCTGAGAATGATTTGTCACACACTTCACACGTGAATGGTTTCTCCCCTGTGTGAATGCGTTGGTGTGTGCGTAGGTTCGATGAGTCAGAGAATGATTTGTTACAGATCTCACATGTGAATGGTTTCTGCCCCGTATGAATTCTCTGGTGCCTCAGGAGATGGGAGGAGTGAGTGAAAGCCTTTTCACAAACCTCACACCTGAAGGGTTTGTCCCCCGTGTGAATCATTTGGTGTGTCAGCAGCCTCGTAGAGGTCATGAAAGATTTATCACAAATCTCACACTTGAATGGTTTCTCTTCCATGTGGCTGTCTGTGGGTTAACAGTGTGTCCAAAAGGTATACCTTATCCTATGAACCTTTGGAGCCCTCCTGACTCACTTCACAATCGAGTAACCCCTCATCTGTTGGAATGAGTCAGTGGTGCATGAGGCTCAATGAATGTTTGAAGCTCTCACCACGCTTGCAGCCACTCATGCTTCTTCCCAGCCTCACCCTTACCGATTACCCATAGCTGAATCTTCAGAAAGGTTGGTTCTGATGGAAGGCTCCACACCACTGGCCAGTTTCAGATCTGATGATATGTTAAAACTCCCGAACCCGACCGATTTCCAGATGATGATTTCACTGCCCAACTTCCTCTGTGTTGAGCAATGCTGTGAAGGGACTGGATGTCTTCCCACAGTTGTGCAGTTGATCCATGGATGATGGTCAGGACCTATGTGCAGTGTCTATCCTCTCTGTATTCTCTGGTGTAGTACAGTGTAATCCTTCTGTAAAACAGGAAAAGGAAACATGATTTCCTCCAACTCCCTCTCTTTCTTTGCTGAAGGGGCTGACTCCTCATTTAGAGACTGTCACACAGTGTGTGGCAGTCTAATATTCCCCTCTGTTGGGAATGAGGGGCAAGTATTTTCTTTTTCCTCACATGACTATCATACATTCTCTGTATCCGGCAGAGTCACTGGATAGTGACTAGGGGCAGACAATGGGGCTACTTTCAAAAAGTCCTAAATATTGTCCTTAAACAAGAGTGTCTGCAACAACTGCCTGGTCAGATCCACGTGCGACTCCAGTCCTATATGGTTGACTCTAAGCTACCTGAGCAAACCATAAGATGTAGAAGCAGAAGTAGCTATTCAGCCCTTGAGTCTGTTCCACCATTTAATTAAATCATAGTTGAGCTGATAATCCTCAACTCCACTTTCCTGTCTTTCCCCTATAACCTTTGATTCCCCGACTGATTAAAAATCTGCCTGTTTTAGCTTTGAATATGCATATCGACCCAGTCTCAAAGGCCTTCACATCATCTTAGGGAAGAAATGCCTCTTTGTCTCTGTCATAAATTGCCAACCCCTTAGAATTTCTGCCCTCTGGTACGAAACTCTCTCACAAGGGGAAACCACCTCTGCCATCATCCCTATCAAGCCGTTAAGAATTGCATATGTTTCAATTAGGTCTCTTCTCGTTCTTCTAAATGCCGATAAGTAGAGAATCAACCAACCTACCTGGGATCAACCTAATTAACTTTCTCTCGGCTGCCTCAATGTACATAAGGAAACCAAAACCATTCACAGTAGTTCTGCTGTGGTCTGACCAGTCACTTACTTTTAGCTAGGCATCCCTAATTTATCCTCCATTCCCTTTAACTTAAAGGCTAAAATTTCCTATTACCCACTGAATATGGTTGCTACTTTTTTGTGTTTACCATAAAATCATAAGAAATAGGAATAGGACTAGGCCATTTGGCCCCTCAAGCCTGCTCCGCCATTCAATAGGATCATGACTGATCCGACACTCCTCATAGCCACTTTCCTCCCTTTTCCCCAAAATCCTCGATTCGCGGACTGATCAAGAATTTGTCTATCTCAATCTTAAATATACACAAGAACTCTGCCCTCATAGCTCACTGTGGCAAGGAGTTCCAATGACTAACAACCCTCTGAGAGAAGAAATTCCTCCTCATCTCAGTCGTTGGCGCCCCTTAAGTCTGAGACTATGCCCTCTGGTCCTAGACTCTCCCATAACGTGAAACATCCTCTCAAGCACCTTAAGAATCCTCTGTGTTTCAATGAAATCACCTCTCATTCTTTTAAATTCCAATGAGTAGAGTCTCAACCTGTGCTCATAAGACAATCCCTCCAGACCTCCATTCTAGTGACTTTCTCTGAATTGTCTCAATGAAATAACATATTTTCCTCAATAGGGGGACCAACTCATCAACTCTGAGTAGAAGTTCCTCTAGCAACTAACATTTGTTATAGATGTGGTCACTATGAACCACAATGGGGTCCACCAGCTCCCACTTAACGCTGGGACAACACATTGTCTGGTCCTGCATCTCTATTTTGTTTAGTTAGTTCCTCATTTTCTGTTAATTTCCTGCTGGTCTTTTAGTTTTTAACCTGTAATTTTGTTTTTCTGAATTAACTTTAATCTGAAAGTAACTTATGATAGATGGTCAAATCAGCAGTTATAAGCAATCAATGAATTTAAGGTTTTCCTGTGATGTCACTTTTTGTTTTGTCCTGGGCCCCCAATCCAGGGCTTCAATTTATCCTGCAACAGACCTTACATACTATAAACCAAAAAAGAGGCAAAAAAAGCCTCCACTCCAATACACCAAATTTCCATGTTACTCCAAAATCCCAGAAATATAGTCACTTGGCTGTGCCTCACTCTGCCTGAGACTTCCTGATTCTGCACCTTCAATAGACCTTCTCTTAAATACACTTGGATAAAGCTGAGGTGACTCACGCTGGTTAAGCTTCAATGGTAATCAACATATATTCAGGCTCTATTCAGGCTTCAGGTAATTGACTGAAAACTGAGCCTCAGGCAGCTGAGTCAGCTACCTTAATAGCCTTTTAACCGGACAACCGAACTTTAAACTTTTAAAAAGGAGTAGGAAAAGAAATATTTACCAGTTCTAATCCCACACTATTCCAAAATACCAGAAATATACACTCACTTGGGCTGTGCCATATTCCGGATGTGGTCTCTTCTTCCTGATCATGTGAGACTTACTGACCAAAATTTTATGATTTCTGCCAGGGTCAACATTTCTAAGGCAAGTTTTACATTTCTGATTCATGCATTAAGACCTCCAAATCCCTCAGTGCTATAACTTTTTGCCCCTTAAATATTTAATCATTGTGGAATGCTATTCGTGTTTTCCATTTGTGACAACTGATGCAATGTATTTATTTAACTCTTCTTCAATTCCCGTTTTCCCATTATTATTTCCAAGCCTCTTTCTTCAAATGAACATAGAACATAGAACAGTACAGCACAGTACAGGCCCTTCGGCCCACGATGTTGTGCCGAACTTTTACCCTAAACCTAAGGTCTATCTAACCTCCACCGCTACCTTATACTATCATCCATATGCCTATCCAATAGCCGCTTAAATGCCACTAATGAGGCCGACTCCACTACCCTCTCCGGCAATGCATTCCACGCCCCTACCACTCTCTGAGTAAAGAACCTATCTCTGACTTCTCCCCGATATCTACCTCCTTTCACTTTAAAACTATGTCCCCTCGTAAAAGCTACCTCCACCCTAGGAAAAAGTCTCTATCTATACCTCTGATCATTTTGTACACCTCTATCAAGTCGCCTCTCATCCTTCGTCGTTCTAAAGAGAAAAGCCGTAGCTCTCTCAACCTTTCCTCGTAAGACCTTCCCTCCATTCCAGGCAACATCCTGGTAAATCTCCTCTGCACCTCTTCTAACGCATCCACATCTTTCCTGTGATGAGGTGACCAGAACTGGACACAATACTCCAGATGTGGCCGAACCAGGCTTTTGTATAGCTGGAGCACGGCTCTTGAACTCAATCCCTCTATTAATGAAAGCTAACATACCATACACCTTCTTAAAACATAGAACATAGAACATAGAACATTACAGCGCAGTACGGGCCCTTCGGCCCTCGATGTTGCGCCGACCTGTGAAACCAATCTGAAGCCCATCTAAACTAAACTATTCCGTTATCATCCATATGTTTATCCAGTGGCCATTTAAATGCCTTTAAAGTGGGCGAGTCTACTATTTTTGCAGGCAGGGCATTCTACGCCCTTACTACTCTCTGAGTAAAGAACGTACCTCTGACATCTGTCCTATATCTATCACCCCTCAATTTAAAGCTATGTCCCCTTGTGCTAGCCATCACCATCCGAGGAAAAAGGCTCCCACTGTCCACCCTATCTAATCCTCTGATCATCTTGTATGTCTCTATCAAGTCACCTCTTAACCTTCTTCTCTCTAACGAAAACAGCCTCAAGACCCTCAGCCTTTCCTCATAAGACCTTCCCTCCATACCAGGCAACATCCTGGTAAATCTCCTCTGCACCCTTTCCAATGCTTCCACATCCTTCCTATAATGCGGTGACCAGAACTGTACGCAATACTCCAAGTGCGACCGCACCAGAGTTTTGTACAGCTGCAACATGACCTCATGGTTCCGAAACTCAATCCCTCTACCAATAAAACCTAACATACTGTACACCTTCTTAACAACGCTATCAACCTGGGTGGCAACTTTCAGTGATCTATGCACATGGACACCGAGATCTTTCTGCTCATCCACACTACCAAGAATCTTACCATTAGCCCAGTACTCTGTATTCCTGTTACTCCTTCCAAAGTGAATCACCTCACACTTTTCCGCATTAAACTCCATTTGCCACCTCTCAGCCCAGCTCTGCAGCTTATCTATGTCCCTCCGTAACCTGCAACATCCTTCCGCACTATCCACAACTCCACCGACTTTGGTGTCATCCGCAAATTTACTAACCCATCCTTCTACGTCCTCATCCAGGTCATTTATAAAAATGACAAACAGCAGTGGCCCCAAAACAGATCCTTGAGGTACACCACTAGTAACTGAACTCCAGGATGAACATTTCCCATCAACCACCACCCTCTGTCTTCTTACAGCCAGCCAATTTCTGATCCAAACCGCTAAATCACCCTCAATCCCATGCCTCCGTATTTTCTGCAATAGCCTACCATGGGGAACCTTATCAAACGCTTTACTGAAATCCAAATACACCACATCAACCGCTTTACCCTTATCCACCTGTTTGGTCACCTTCTCGAAGAACTCAATAAGGTTTGTGAGGCATGACCTACCCTTCACAAAACTGTGTTGACTATCCCTAATCAAATTATTCCTTTCTAGATGATTATAAATCCTATCTCTTCTAATCCTTTCCAACACTTTACCCACAACCGAAGTAAGGCTCACTGGTCTATAATTACCAGGGTTGTCTCT